TACTAATGGTGTAGCAACTGCATTGTTATCAACTGGAACTGAATTTCTTATTTGAAGAGCTCCGCCTCTAATCTGATTAGTATTGATATCTGCAAGACCCGTATTGTCACTAATATTTTGCAATTCCCAATTTTTGTTCTTGAAATTAGTTTCATACCAATCTTTTGCATCGTCTCTCAAACAAGTCTCAAAAAGTCCATGAATTCTTACTCTAGTTCGAGCTTCTGCAAGTGGATCAAGTCCGGATGCCTACTATTCTTCAGGATCTCCTTCAGCTTTTCCGTAAAATAGGGGTGGTGCGTAACCTGCCATTCCTCTATATTGGTTATTTATAGGCTGATCATTCTGTATAATAAAATTTGTCCTTGTAAATTCAAAATTAATTGCCGAGAATTATAGGTTTTATTTTTCCATTTCTTGTATCTTTCTATAAGTTGATCATGCCAATATTCTAGCATAGAATCATGATTATGGCATCTCTGCAACTGCTGTTCCAATTGCTGGATCGCAAACTGTTAATGCAGTAATTTACTAATATGACTATCTTTTTTAGTATTAATATAGACAGCATTTAACTTCTAAAAATTGCGATGCCTTTCCAAATGTTGAGAAATCCCCCGCCAGGATGATATTCCACCTATTCATTATTGTAAGACGTAGTCATCAATATAAGATTATTCTGAGAAATGTTACACTTTAGTGTAAGTTGGTTAGCACGATTTTGGAAAGTGATATTTTGCTGTCTATAACCATTAACATCCTACTGTAATTGCATTATTTAAGCATCTCGAGCATCTTGTTAATTTGCAATATCATCTAAATCCTGATCTATTCTTTGATAATTGGCCCAAATAGTATTTAAAGTACCATACATACCTTGGATAATAATGACAGGATTATTTAATGATGTGCCATGTCCTATGAAATGGTTTTCGAGTCGATTTAATCCACTAGTGATATTTACAAAGGGATCTATATGAGCAATATCTGTGTCAGGAGAATTTCTTCGTGAGTGAATTTGCTTAATTCTATACTTCAAACTAGATATAATTCCATCATATTCTTGCAACTGCTTTTCGATATTTGTTATATAAGATTCTTTATCCCTAAAATCTTTTTTGATTTGATAAAGCAGTTTTTTTTAGAGATGAAATTTTAACCCGAAGTCATTCATTTCCTGATTAAAAGATATTATTTCAAAATCTTTTTGAGAGATCGCTTTCTCACAATTAGCACGATCATGCTCTAACTGTTTAATCCTTTTTTCATTGGTCTTATTATTGGGAATTTCATTAGACAATTCATCTCTTAAAGCTTGATTTACCTGCTCTAGTTCCAATTCTCGATCAGATGCTGGTTCACGAGAAATTCTATTGGGATGTGGTCCGGATCTTTGAAATGTCATGATTATTTTTACGGCATATTATATTGACGTGCCCCGACTTCACCAAAATGAGTAACCATAGTATTATTATCGATCCTAATGAAGCTCAAGATATTGAAAGAAATCTCATATTGTGTGATATATATTATCATTCCACTGGGTATTATTCCAATTCTAAATTATTAAGAGATGCATGTAAAAAAGAGGGCATCAATTCCGATTAAGCGAACGTAAGAAATTTTTAGAGAATCATGAATCGTACCAAATCAATAAACACCCTCCCAAGCACATTCTTAGATTTAGATATAGACGAATTTCACGTCCTAACTGTGTTCATGTGGCTGATATACTGTTTCTCACTCATGATTATTATAGAGGTAAAACTTACAAAACGGTACTCAATATAATAGACTGTGCTTCCCGGTATAAAACTTCTGTTCCACTCACATGGAAGAATAGTTCAGAGGTTGCTAAAGTATTAAGAAAAATTTATAATGACTCTAATAACCCTCTCACCTATCCAACGCTTCTACAAACAGATAATTGTAAGGAGTTGATGGGTGAAACAGCTCGATTAATAGAAGAGCACAATTTCACGATTCGAGTCATAGGACCCTATAGTCATAGAGTTCTTGCAATGGTAGAACACTTCAATAAGACAGAAGCCGATGTACTCTACAAAATTCAGTATCCCAACATTTTCATCAGAATACTATGTTCCATAAGAAAAGGGAAAATCGATTTGGACCAGCAAAGGCAACGCGATCAAAAAAAGCGAGATATATGCAAGTGATAAGGTATTACATTGATCGTTATACCATATGACAGTGATTTACTTTCCTATATTCGTACCGTATTGATCGAAAAAGGATTCTTGATTAATTCTTTTAACTAGAACATAGTTATTATTTTCTTAGTATATAATTAATAATACTTAATCTAGCATGAAAATAAAAAAACTTGAGCTGGTTGAAAGTCTTGTATATCACATTGATGATATTAAAAATGCTCAAAAATACAATGGCAATTCCAATACTCCTCAATTATATTTTACACTTTTAATTTCAGGACAAACTAACTTGGGAAAAACTAATGAGGCTCTTAATATTATGCTTGTAAATAAGCTTTATCATATGTTTAATGGAAAGAAAGAAGGAACGAGATATATAAAGAATGATGATTTGTTATTGATTGGTCATCAACTCAAGGAGCCAAAATACTGTATATGTACCTCGAATCATCATATCAGATAATTGCAAATAGTCCGAAGCCCTATCGTTAAATATTTCATTTCGTGCATTGAAGCCTAATAAAATTCCTAAGGTAGATTCATTTTCACCGGACAAAGGTACAGTAGCTATATTTGAAGATGTGCTGATCCGAAATAAGTGCAAGAAAGAATTGTTCCTTATTTTATCGAAAGACGCCATTATAATATCAGTTTGATATACGTTTCTCAGAGTTGGAGTTACTTTGACTGTCCAAAGATAATACGAAAAAATCTCTCACATGTCTGCTTTGTTTAACGGATCATGTACCTCATATGAACTAGTCATAATTGTGCGACAATATGCTAATAGAGTGGCTAAAATTATTGACAAATATTTATGTAAATAAGATTTATTGTTTTTGATTTAACTGTACCTCGCGAGCATCCACACAGAATACGAATTGGTTGGGATATGCCATTAGCATTAAATGAATAGACCAAGGTTTGACAAACAATTAATTATATATTTTTTCGTTAATTATTAATACAATAATATAATATACATCTATCTGCCACTTCTTATATTATTGAGAAGCAGGTCTTACCCAGCATATTTGAAGTTAGAGTGATGTAAAAAATAACAAGCACAATCTATTATCTACACTAGGGTATTTTGTGCCAGGTAAAACAACTGTATATAAAAATCAAAGTAAAAGGGTACCAGCCTTTAGGGGTAATGAAATAAAGTTTAAAGTACCAGATCTCCGGATATTCAGATAATTTTATTTTAAATAGATACATATATTAATAAGTTATATAATAAATAGATATATTAATCAGATAAATAGAAATGTGTATTACTTATACATTATTAACTTGACGTATTTCTTCTCGAACTGTACATAATAACTTATAATGTATAGCTAACTGTGTTGCCATCAAGCCATTTCTGTGATATGATATTAACAGCTCGAATTTTTCTCCCAATATCGCTTGTACGTTTAACGCTTATGATAGCATTCTGCATCCACAATTCATAGCGACGAATTGCTTCTTTTTCGAAGTAAAAATTACTAGATTCGGATCCGCTTTTAAATTCCATATATGTAGTCTTTATAACTACTAATATCGCAATAAGCATTTATCCATGGAATGACTAAAACCACATTCCTAACCACTTCCTATCCTAGAATAAACTAGTTTGTTTTACGAATGACATATTGCTATACTTACACCTCCAGCATGGCCGAGATCACCGTCCCATAAATATTTCATTTTTTTTTGGCGATAAAATATCGCTTTTTATCATCAGTCAAACGATTTTTATTCTTATAATTCATCAACAATCCCAGATTCGGTTCTTCCAATCATATGGTATTTCACCTTTATTGATTACTGGAAATTGACAGTTATCTCCCCATTCAGTATTTATCAAAACTGGGAATTTATCCGTATAGACCATATTTAGCAATTAAGTGACTTATAGAGTTTTTAGAGATTATGCGATTATATCGGATTTAAGGATTTGAACCTATTTGATTTAATAACTATATACTCGAGAATACGTAACATGATTCGGATTGGGTTATTAGATAAGTTATGTATATTCGCCATATTTTGTGAGTGATGTATATGATAAAAATGGGAGAGATGCATATTGGGCTGTAGTGAGAATTGTAGTTTAGAGCTGATTCTAAAGAATTTATTTGTGACGATATTTATGTTCAAATTGCTCCTGTATATATTATCCAATCACTCATGATAAATGTGGGATCTATTTCGGCTGTATGATTTTGGACGTAATACTGTATATTATTAAATGCATCAATCACATAATACTAAAAAATCTCAACGATTAAATTTGGTTTATTTAATCGTGTGAGTTAGCACATTCGTACTAAAAAAAATATAACAAGTAGGAATTTAGACGTGAAATCGATGTCACTGGCACAGTAATGTGACGCTGTAATTCACTTCGTTATCTTCAAACATTGGACAATTACAAAATCAATATCATCTTAAATTCCTATTCCTTCATAGAATACTATACTTTTTTTGCCTCTAGAAGTTATTCTACGTAAATTTACATCGGTAATATCAGGAAGGAGTGATTGATTTCGTTATACAGTATACTATCGTTTTTGCCGATTGAACATCAATATTATTCATACACTTAACATCGTTGACTCGATTTTTGTATACTTTATAATAACAATACCAACAAAAACTTTCCTTTTGTCGAACCATCATTGCTACTCTAAATATTATTTTCCGATACACGCCCACACCACATACACGCATGCATATAGTTAAAAATTATAAGCTCAAAATGTGATAAAAAGATAAACTTTATCAACTCAATTCAAGATCCATGTGAAAACATAAACCAATCTTTTTTAACAAAAACTACAATTTCAGGTCAATTTCCAGAGCATATTGCCTAAGACGATTAATCCAAGGTGGCCTATTCTTGAGAACATTTCTCTTAGTGGTGTAAAGAACCTGCTCTTGGTAAGAATTATATATTTCCTTCGGTAAGACAAAATAAATATTGATATCCGAATTATCATTCTTAATATATTTTTCCAACCCACTCTTTAAGATAGGATGATTCTCAGAAACAGTCATCTGGAAGAATGTGTCGGGAAAAACGAACGCACTAAAAGATGCGTTATTCTTTTGAGTTGGAATACAATACATGTTAGGAACAATCTCACTGATGTCACTAAACAGTCGTTTTTTCCGAGTGGGTATTGATAGTTTTGAATTATTCACCCCGAAGCAAGAGACAGTTGATGCGAATAAAGGGCGAGTCCTAAATAATCCTCCTTTTAATAACATTCTGTGAGCGATCCGCTCGAATATAGCGCCCCGGAGTGTACTATAATTGCTTATCGATGAGCTAGACTTCATGAAATTCTCCATCTGGCTTCTATAGTTCTTTATTAGTTTATCCATCACCTCTTCAGCAACATGATCGGACGCAAACTCTAGAATTGACATTGAATAGAAGGGTTTTCCTTTTCCTATAACACTTTTCTTTTTATCGGGTCTAATTACTGCGGGATATTTTGACATAAAAGGCTCTCCAGAATTTTCTCCTACTTCTGTTATTTCCACAACTTCCACACCTTCATCTCCTTCCTCTCCATCTCCTTCATCCTCTCCTTTTGGTATGTTCGTGCAGATATGGACGATTTTATGACTGGCGCTATCATCATCTGTTGCCTCACCAACAAAATTTAACAGATTATCGTCAACCGAATTAATTGCCCTTTGAAGATCTTGCTGAGAATCATTGAGAGCATAAAACAAGGTAAACCAAGGAATTCCACCCCATTCATTGTATAATTTCCGAACATATTCTTGAGTAAGATTACGGAAAAGCCTAATCCTGCATGCATCGATCTCTTCCCAAGACCATACCGGCATGTACCGAATATTTGTTCCAAGCTTGTCAAAGTTACTGTAATGGCATTTCTGAGGTGAACAGGCTAGTATTGTCTTGGCGACATATTCCATCGGTCTCCTACCATCCACGATATACCAAACTTCTTCATCTGCCAAGTAATTTTTGAATGCATGAATATTATCTACGGCAAGACTGAAAACACTTTCCTCACTGAAGAGAATCGGAGGCTTGTTAAGTTTGTGATATACAACTGTTTTACGTTGTTGTGAAAGGAGATAGAGTAGATAATAACCGAAGAAGGTTTTCCCAATTCCCGGATTGCCGGTAATACGCCAGCGGCGGGCATTTTCATTCTCAAAAATAATATTTCACAGGTGATAATAACATTCACGGATGAACAGAGTGGATATATTGGAACCTTGTTCATCTTTGCCTAGAAAATAGTAAACGTCCCTGGATAATTCAAGAAACTGACCACCATCATGATTTACAACTTTCCCACCCTTCAAAGCATTCCAAAACCTTCTTAGTTTTTCGTTATCGTTATCGAATTTTCTTCGTTTACTAGGGGATTCTATATATCAGAAGATTATTAACGTAACGAGAACGAATCAACGGCTATCGAAAATCAAGTCAAAACACGTTCATTCCGTCGACTAAATTTATACGCCTTACCAGCAACGGGTTGTTCTATGATAACGCGAATGTGTTTTTTAGGCAGGTTTGACGATAAAAAGCAAGAAAGAAAAGCACAAGAATAAGTAAGTATTCGGTATTATTGACGAATATAAAAGCGCGTGCTGAAGTTCGCATACCTCCTTGAATGTCATTAATCAACTTCACGATTTTTTTAGCTGGTCCAAGAAGTATTCCTAGCTTTGTAAGGTCTTCAGGAGTTAATTCAAGAATAGCTTCGCCATCAACTTCCTGAACTGTTAAGGTATCTATGTGACTATCAATGTTGTTTAACCTTCCTTTCAAAAATCCATTGAGTTCTACGGCATTAAATCCTCTCACTTCCTCGACCGTCGGAAGATCAGATGAAGGAATAACAGAAACACTAAACATGACTTGCGATTAAAAAAATAATGAAAGAGTAGTACGTACGAATGAAAAAATTTATTGTCGCACAGATTGTAAGTCATGCTTTACAATACTAAATATTAAAAATTCCAACATCACGTGTTTATCTCTTTTTTGTGCTTTCTAACGCGGTTCAACTGCGAATCTACCTGTTTTTCATGGAATTGCATTGCATTCACATAGTGGATATATAGGGAAAAATTACTGCAACTCAACCGCGACTACATCGCACCTTAATCATGCCTTCATCGCATCAATACAGTATTATAAGAAAGTACGTAAAAGGAAAATCAGACCGGATGATTTTAAATGGAAATAATGATTATTTTCGAAGGCAACCACAATTTGACTAATCAGAATTGGAATTTCGTCTGGATCCGGTTATTCTTAGTAATCGACGAAAAATATCTTTTTAATAACCAATTAATGTGTATCTGAAAATTAGAATTACATTAATATGCGCGGATTAAACTATCTGATTTTCTATAAGTTTCGCCGGTATTTAAATAATAATATCCTTCATCATCTTCATCCGAAAATCCATAGAAGCTCCCATCATCAGAGAAATTCTTATCATCGTTATTATTATCGGAGAATACTCGGCCTAAATTATATTCTTCTTCACCTTTGTAGAAATTCTTGCCATTATCGGATTCATTTACCTCTTACTTGGATAAAAATTTGTTATCTTCACTTATCTTATCTTCCGAATGAGAGATATGGGACAATGAAACAGAGGGAATGGTAGGAATGCATGTATCCAGTGAAGTTTCTTTATTTGCCTCAGTAGGAATACTTACCTCATTATCTGATATATCATTCAAGCTAGAGTTGGTCATATTAGAGCGTGAATTTTTTTCACGCAGTGGGAGGTTGGTATCACATTTTTTCTGTGAAACAACTTACCCCATATACAGTATAATTGTATCGATTTGTGTATCAGTTAATTTTGAAAGTTCTTATCTTCTCCAATTCCATTAAACAACTTATATATAGGTTTAGTTAGTTGTGTTCGTTTACGCAAATTTACTCGGGAGATACCTGAAAGATAACAACATTTCATCATAAATTCGACTTTTTGTTTCGTAATATCTGGTTTATTTTTCAGGATTTCAGGTAAATTTTCACTATGTCTTTTTTATATATGAATACCAGCTAACAATTTCATCTTGTTTAGCTCGCATTCCGCAAAACAAATTCTTTCGAATAGATAACTATTTTGGTTGCAGGCGATTGGTTGTACCAGTTCCATTGATTATCTGTAGAGTTTTTAGACCATTCGGATTGCCTCTCTGAGACATCTACATTAACAATTTTAACAGTATCTTTCACTAATTCTTCTATTCTTAATTCTTCTATTAAATGCTGTATGCCTATTTCAGGGATTTTTATTTTCTGTAAGTTTGTATTCTGTTCTGAGGACTGTTCAGATAAATTAAAAGTGTTGGGAATAGATTGCGATTCCGGAGTTTGTTCGACATGTGATTCATCATAGGATTTTGACGAGCTATCCGAGGATGAGTTGGGATTTGGCATGAGCCAGCTTCCATCTTCTTTTCCCGATTTCTTTCTCTAATTTCAGTGCTAATCTGTTTCCGAATCAAAAATTATTTAGTATCCTTTTCGTCTAACGATTCCGGTCCGTATGGACAGGCTGGTGTTCATCAGAATATGATTTGACGCTGGATTCATTAGAATTTGGCGTAAGCCTGCACATTTGTGTTGAAGTATTATCGGATACCATAGTATCATTGCATTGTAAGTCAATTTGTTCAGAGCTATCAACCAGAGACTGGCTTGCGGCAATATTATTATATCAACTTAATAATAATGATATCTCAAGTGTTGCTATAATAATCTGAGTCAGATCAAATATTGGAAGTCAGAAAATTCTTAGACAATTTTATAAAGTCAGATAAGCTAACCAAAGGAAACTTGGCAACCACAATGTTAGTCTTTACTAAAAAGCTACAAATTACAGTTCAAAACTAAATATAAAAATAAACCTTTAATTTAAGAGGTATTTTATTTATTAAGTCAATATTATAGAATGATAAAGAATATGAAAATACAATTTCAGCATTACAAAAGTACAAGATTATGTTTATAAATCAACTTATTAATACAATTATGATAACACTAAAGGAATGAAAATAATCCAGATTTTTATAGTAAATACAGAGACCAATCCCCTCTTAGTACAAAAATGTTTATAAAAATAATAGAAATAATTGCATAATTTTACCTAAAAAAAACTATAATATTGTTGTGGGCTATCCCGGCGAGTCTGTTGCTAATCCATAGCACCTCGCATAACCCAGACTTCTCAAGAATACTCACAAATGACACAAAAAAGAGAACGTCTCCTATAAAGAACACTTAGGGAAGGCAGAGGTGTGGTGATTGAATTGGCCGAAGGTAAGTGTCTCTTTATTGCATTCTGTTTCTTTGGTATATCACTAACTCTTATCTCTATTCTCAATAAGGGCTGCTTTCTTACATATTCAGCTCTTTTCTCAAGGAGGGCTGTTTTTCTAACACATTCAGCTCTGCCTTTTCGACATACATTGATAAGCTATTTATACTTTTCTAGCTAACAATGGGCTATCTACTTTATAATCAGCTATACTAATCCTAAGCTTTGCTAAACTTTCTATACTTTTTCAGATATACATAGTTCCCTTATCAATATCCGAGCTTTATCTATAGTTTCTTACTTTGCAACACTCAATCTTTCATGCCAGACTTTTGGGTTTTTGGATTCTAGACCATTACGCATTAATTGCATCACCCACGTGACCCATAACACCATATTTATTGAACCTTGTGTGAGTCTTGTCTTTGTTACAGCTGCGATAAGTGGGTAGGATCCTTCTTTACTTTGCCTGTTTGGTACTTGAGATCAGATGTGTTTTTGGAGACCTTGTATTACTTATGCTAGCCTTATATAGAACCTTGTGTTGATTTGTCATTCTTACTATAGGCCTGATAAGCATACGGGTTCTCCTCATTATCTTGTGGAGCACATGATTATCATCATGGAGGAATGAAATCTTCATACCACTTTGTGACTGAATTTTCACTTGGTCCTCATATGGTATTGAACTCTGGACCTTGTGATTGTACATGGAAGCACTACCACTGTGTTATCGATCCACAGGTCAGAACAATAAAGAATCCAATAGATGTTTGATCAATATAATTATAGAGATCATATCCATGCAAAGAATTGAGGTCAAGTGGACAAAAATTAAAAGTCACTCAGGTAACCGAGCAAACGAACTGACAGACAAATTAGCAGCAACCACACTGGTAAACAAACTCAAGGACATAATTAGGATATATGAAGTAAATTCAACAAGTGACATGACATTACTTAGATGGGACCAAACCTTTATAGACCTCCACTTTAGTACATTAGGGAAGACACTTCTAAAAATCAAATAGACAAGCAAATGGAGAACACTGAGATGGATGCAAGAATGGCTTACTAGCTTCAAGTCTAAGAAGATAGACTGAAACATAACACTACAAACACTATCATTATCCAAAATCATATCACTACAAACACTATCATTATCCAAAATCATATCACTACAAACAAACCAGAAGGACTGTAAAAATAGATCCTTCAGATGAAAGACTTGGTTAAATGAACTTTCCACAATGATGAACCTGTACACACAAGACCACACCTTTATAAAGACCCAACCTGTATTATCTGCAAGAAACAAGAAGAAAAAGATCTCTATCCCCTCCCATGTGGACTTAACAAGATGAGACTCATGGAAAAGTACAATTCCTTTCTCACAGAAGAGTATGCATCTAGGGCTAATAGCCAAAAGCAAGATAAACCAATCCACAAAAAATAGAATTGTTCACTTCATCTGAAAACAAGAGCAAATGGAATAAGGGGATCAAATAATATAGAATGGACAAACATTATCAGAGGAGCCATCATACACAATATGAAGCAAACTGCAGTGGAAATCACAGGTAACGAAGAAGCAGTAATGATAGCCATAAAGACAGCAATAGCCCGGTTCTAGCAAGAGAAGAAAGAAGTCTGGAAACTGAGATGCAACATAACGATAGAATGGGAAAAAATACAAGGGATCACTAAGAAGAATCAAAGGGAGTGAATGGGAAACAAACACCACTGAACAAATAAAAACACCCAAAAGGAAGAAGGACCACAAAATATTAATGGACAACTATATATAGAGTTAACTAACCATGCTATAAAAGAAACCATGGGAAATGGGTACTCGATCAATATAATTTTTCCATTAAATTTCAGTGTTAGTGAAGTCATAACATGCTAACATTTACTGATAGGTGAATTGCAGTGAGTTGCAGGGTTTGGTAAGATAGTGAGTCAGTAGTTTTTTTCCTATCATAAATGAATTTTCTCACAATTAAATTTGTATATAAAGAAAGTACAAATGATTAAATAAAAACTATTTAGCATGACTTTACCAGCTTTAAAAAAAAAAAAGTATTATTCAATAAATTGATTTTATATTGTAATGACTTTATCTTTATGTTCAAAAAGTTATAACTTAATATTGAAATAAATAATTTCACTTTTCAAATAAACTTAAAAGAATTAGTTTTAAAGTTTTTTCAATAATTAAGGATGTACTTAGAAATTCAAGTATTTTATTTTTATATAAAAAATATAGATCTAACTATTTTAAGCAAATATTCTTTCAAATTTATATTTTTCTAGAATTATTAATAAGTGATAAATAAGTTTAATCGGTTCTCTTTCTTAAAATATTTTCTCAATTTAACAATTCTTATTTTTAGATTAAAGATTAACTTATAATTCTAATCTTTCTCAAGTTTTAAAGAATACATTTTTTTAAAAAAAAGAATTTAATAATTAGTTTACTATTTGTTTTTCAATAAAAAATTTTTTGTTACTTAATATTGAAATATTTTATTATCACTATTATATTATATATATATTTTTTATATTT